CGAATCTATCTTCTTTTTATTCTTGTCTTTTTCTTTTTGGTGAATATGGACCTAAGAAGAACAAATTTAAATTGACTAGACTTCTTTAATTTGGGCAAAAAAAAAGAAAAGAAATTGTTGATTTACTTAAAGGAGCTAAATCGTTAATATTTGGGACCTAGATTTTGACACAAATGTGTCGCAACGCATTTAATAATGTATTAGTAAAATATATAAACTAATTGACATTCAATCATTACCGTTTTTACTCTAATTTCAAATCAGTTATGTTCGGCGAAATACGCCAGAAGTCTCAATCGACTGGCAACCTGTATCATCTGGTTAATCCAGTCTACAACGATAGTATTTATGGTGTCACTGCTTGACATGACTTGTGGAATATGTCTAGCCTCGTTCTTCGAGTCCCTTGTTACAAATGACGCTGAAACGCATTATGGTACATGATTCATGTACCAATGACAAAATGTTTATTTTGTCTTAAATATTGGATATCAGAAGCCCATCTTGATTTAATGTTGATTTAAATTGAAAAATAATTCGGGTTTTCAATGTCAAAGGCTTAGCTACTTTAACTTTGATTTGTTGTTTTGCTTTGTGAAGTGGGTATATCTATCTACATTTACAATTTTAGGTACACAGAGCGAATCTTGAGATATAAACTGATTTTCTGTTCAAATGTCCACAGTTTAAGCTAAAATTAACAGATAGACTTTAGTTTAATAGCCTGAAAGATAAATTGAATGATACATATCTTGTCCCAACTCGAAACGATATAATAATATATCAGATCAACACACATTGAGATAATGAAATAGGAGTTTTGCGTCTTGACGACACTTTACTTTGGTTAGTTTTAACTTTTAAGTGCATTACAGATCAACATAATTAAACAAAAGGTTTGCAACAATCAAATCAACATAATTCAACAAAAGAGGTGGCCAAATAGGAGAGAGAGAGAGAGAAATGGGGTTTAACATCTACTCAACACAAACTAGGTCCTTTCGGGACTAACATATGGTTTAATTTTATTTCAATAATTCGCTTGGGTGTAGGGGTCTTTAGCAGTGGGAGGAAAGCGGAGAAAACCCACGAGGTTGGACAAGTGACCCTACTCCTTGTCACGTAAAACCGGGGAATCGAAACCACGCCAGTTGACTCAATGACAGGCCTTATGATACAGCGCACACGTGCTAACAATGGCCAAATAGGGGTTCTGCTGTATCTGAAAAGGTATGTAAACTTTGAATTAAAACCTATATTATCATAGGGGCAAATATTTCTACAATTCTCAAATAATGCCAATATCATTAAATGTAGGTTTGTAAATAAACAGAATTTTTACCTTAAAAGACTGGGTAACTGCAGCTTGATGCTGTAGTATAGATACACTTCCTGATATTTCCTGACTAAAGACTTTCTACAAAATAACATTAATCTTTTAATACATGTCCCTTTATAAATACTACAGAGCTCATTAATTTTGAATTAAATATAACATTTTAATAGGTATATCTTAAAAGTGCATTATGCAAGAGCTTAATCTGCCTATAGCAGGTCTTTCTTTAAGCCTAAAATGTTATCTAAATTATTAATTAGACATTAATTAACTTATCCAGACCATAATCAACTATAAATGCTATCACTAGCCTGCGGTATTTAGCGGATTGGAATACATTTTTTGAAAAATAATCAAACGTAAAAATGGATAATTGAGACTTTGTTTTTTTATCGTACTGACTTTTGTAATGATGATCGAGGCTAGCCTAAAATTCAAAAGCTAATATCTTGGTTCAGAGTGGAGCAATTTGACTGAAATTTGCAGCATATTCTATTTAAGTTATCTATTTTTTAACTATTATAGCGAGAACTGTGAACTCTTTATCTAATATCCCATAATGCTTCTTTAAGTCTTGATTTAAAACTCTCAATAGATGTTGCACTTTTTATTTAAAAAATATTTTATTCCCATAAGATTCATGTAAAGTATATAGTCAAAAAATGTAAGGATTCAAAAACAAGCCATAGGCTTATATTAATTTGTCTCCTTATTGAAAATACAATACAAATTATATACACTTTTGATGAATACTGGCACAATAAAACTAAAAGCTCTAACACCAAATGTTTTTGATCACATAGGCTTAAAATCTCCAGGGATTCATATTCCAAGTGCTACAATTATCATAGAGAAGAAAGAAAATGTTCCATTGTAAACACAAGTTACTTTTAATGCATCTGTAAATTTTGAGAGACCTGCTCCCTTGGTATGAAGTCCAGCACTTGTTTCTGAAAATAAATAAAATAGAATGTTTTTCTTCAAATAACAGAAGAATAGAAGGATCAAAGGAAGACAAGGATAAAACTAAATGATTACAGTTCTGTCAGCCCAGATGGCTAGTGTCAATTCACAATTTGAATTATTTGAGAGTATAAATTGAGACCTTCAATCAAGTTGCCTCATAGAAAGATGGATGGACCAAAGGAAGGACAAGGATAAAACTTAACCCCCTGATCATTTTATAAGAGGTATCACAATGTAGTATCTTACCTCCACTGGTTAGATAGGCAACAATCTTTTCTAATAAATCTATAACACTGTTCTTACTTTCATATGTTATACCCACACCTGCCAATAACTCAAATATATACCTAATAAAAAATATATACAAAATATATACCCAATGACAAAATATATACACAATATATACCTAATGAGAAAATATATACAAAATATATAACTAATAAAAAAATATATTTTAGTACATAAAGCATGCCACAGAGCTAAAAATCATCATTTTATTGATAATCCAATTTGATCAACTTTATGACGAATATTTAGTTATTGTTCAATCCCAATGTTGGCCAAAAAGTTCCTCTGGATTTTCCAGTCTGATTTTCCTTTTGAGTGATGTAGGATGGAGAGTCTGGCATAGAAAAGCATCTGGTAGTTTGGATGGGACAAAAAAACAAGGACCAATATACACATTGGCCTGCATGTAAAACAACTCTCAGCAGTTGGAATTTGAAGAAGAGTTGGCAGAAACCCCTGGTTGATGCATTAAATCCCATTTCATTCATTCCATTTCCTTCCTGCTTGCATCATATTACAGAAATCAAAATACTTTGAGTAATTATTGTGCATAGTTTAAGAATTTCTTTTACTTAAGATATAGCGATTCACTGGTAAGAAATTAATGATATAACCCAGACTCTTTCCTGGTAGGCTTGAAAATAATTACAACAAACCATCACAGATGTACTTACTGGCCAGGTTTTGTTAAACCATCTTTAGGAATATTTAAGGCATCTATATTTTCTTCCAAATCTTTTATTGTAGCTACAACAAACAAAATATTTTATTCGTTTTTTTTTCATTATTCCTTGCATTCAACATTTTGTTCAACATATTCTACTTTCTATTGCATTACCTACAATATCAACTGCTATTATGAAGAAGGTCACTTTTAGCAAGAAAACAAGGCAGAAAAAAAATGTTTAATTAAACCTCCTCCGATTGACTGACATGTTTTATTAACGTCCTCTGATTGAGACACTACACAACCAATTAAACCTCAACTGATTGCTTGAGAGAGTAAAGGTTTAATTAAACCTCTTCTGACTGAAAGACCGAGCGCCTAATTAAACCTTTTCTGATGACTGAAAGACAACACATCAAATTAAACTTCTGATTTATTGGAAGAATAAATGTTTGATAAAACCTCTTCTAATTAATTGGAAGACTACTATACACGTTTAATTAAACCTCTCCTGATAGATTAGAATAGTGGATATTTAATTAAACATCTAAAACCTTTAACTAAAAACTTACATTTTAATTTCAGTAATTCATCTAACTGAAATTCAGGTTCTGAAATAGGTACAAATAGGAAATAATGAAAAGTATAGAAAGTAACCGAACATAACAGATTTGTCCTTGATTGCTTATTGATAATAGGATTCAATGATAACAACAGGGATTGTCTAACAATAAATCCATAAAAAAGAATTCTTGAGTAATTTTAGGTACAATTTCTACAATTTTTCCAGATTAAATAATCATGATGTTCCAGAAGATGCCATGTAATCATGATTTAAACAACATTAATATTCATATTGTGCAACATGCGACCTATCAAACATACCGACCAATCAAATACCATCACAAGAGCCTTGCAAGTTAACAGAAAATCAGCTGAGACTGACCACTGCTAAAATTCAAACCTCTGGCTGAGATTTTCTCTGAACATTATGCCATGGGTCATATGATTGTAATGGGACATGGCTTAGCAATGATGGGTACTGTCGAACATGACATATCGTACCTATAGCTTCATCTCCCTCCACTAGACTCTGTTCTTCTCTCTGTGCCATATCTATTAATTTTTCCATTAATTTAGTTGATTCCTCCATTGCAGTAGCCAAATCTACTGAACTAAGATCAAAGGATGCACTATCTTCACATATTTTCTCCTGCAATATTTTCAAAACAATACGATCACTATTATGCAAAATAGATTGATGCTGGTATGAGAGACAATCCAAATAAGCTCTCAGTCTGAGAAAATATCTGTCCAAATATATTATTACCTAATCTTAAACCTGTCTGTTTTATTGCCAAAACTCTACTTCTTTATCATCAAACTCCACAAAAAATCAAAGTATTCAATAATCACACTAAGGTCCGTTTTCCATGCACGCGTCTTCGCCAATGTAATGGGAATGTTTCCATGTAAACGGTAAAAATGCGTACATGGAAAACAGGCTTAAAAATTTGGCATTCTTTACTATCTTCATAATGAATTACTGAATTCTATTTCCCAAGGGATCTTTAACAACATACACTGCAAATTTGTACAAGGAATTTCTGGGGTTTTTTTTTTTTATCTCATTTTAACATCTTGTCAACCATACCTCCTGACAAGTAACAAGTGGGGCATGATGGTTCTTTTGAGTCATGCCAGGTTTGGACCAAAAGACATTCTTAAATAATACTCTACATACCAAGTTATGAGCTTCATCAAAGATGAGTACATTCCCTTGTAGTTCAACACCATTTGCTCTTCTTGACTAAAATAAATATAGCAGACATTTAACACACAATAGCCTTTATTTCTTCTACCATAGATATAAAGTAATATCAGTAAGTTCTATAGAACTGCAAATTATTAAAAAAAAAGAAAAAAAAAGCTTCATTTATCGCTTTTAATAAACAAATATGAAGCGAGAGAATGTTATCTGTACTGGAACTTACTTTTGGATCTAAGAGATAGTTGTAAGGCATAAAAATTATATCTGCATCTGTTTTAAGTTCTCTAGCCATGTAGTAAGGACAAACACTGAAATAGTTAACATCAAAATTCATGATATTTGTATGATCTTCATATTGAATGCATGATTTGTTATAATAGTCAGGTCAATATATGGAAAATACCCCCTCAACCCATCAAAAATTGCTACAAAAGGTTTCTGGTAGGGTTTAGTCTACCTTATAACATACTAAAAGTTTACCAAAGTAGGAACCCCGGAAAAGTGTTTTTTCAAGATGGCGTCAAAGATGGCCACTGAAAAGTCTTAAAATGATCATAACTAAGTAACTATCAACGCAAATTGGATGATCTTGGTGTCTTTCCCTAGATTTTGGGGGCAAAAAACACATTAAGATCCTTAAAAATGCTGTTGGCCTATTATGTCAAAAATGGCCGCTAACACCTCCAAATGACCGCAAGTCCATAACTATTGACTCAAATTTGATGATCTTGATGTCTATCCCCATCTTTGACGCCATCTTGAAAGAAACACTTTTCAGGGGGTCCTACTTTTTGGTAAACTTTTAGTATGTTATAAAGTACACTAAACCCTACCAGAATCAGTTGAGAAACCTTTTGTAGCCATTTTTTGGGGGTTTGATATGACTATAAATGTGGGCCACAGATTTAATTCAATCCTAAGTTTGTAATTTCAATAGGTAGGCCTGGTTGCCTGTGACAAAATATACAATGTAAGTCCTGAAATAGCCTAGTTTGTGTTGAATGTACATTAAATCTGCTTTGCTATTTCCCCCTTAATTGGTTTATCAAAGATCAATATCTGGAGACAATGGTTACAGTTGAGGGAATTCAATTTACCATTTTATTTGGAGGATACCTAAAACCTACATGATCTAGTAATATTAAGAAATATGAACAAGAATAAAAGAAATCAACTAACTCAGTAAAGGTATGTGATATTTTTCATTCAATGACATTTAGCTGATGATTATGTACATAAGAAATGTAAGTAAGAATTCTTTTTCACATTTTTTGCACTTTCTGTTCTTCGAATGAGACCTAATCGACATATAAAGTTATATTGTATTGGACTCTTCCATTTTGAGAAGGTATTCCATGCATGTGAGGTAGAAGGAAAGAAATAATTATTACTATAAACAACTTGTAGAATGTTAGATCATACCATCTTCTATGGTAAGAAAGTTCTTCTATTCAAATGCATGATATGACTGAATGAAATGGGGTTTAGAGTCTCACTTTTTTGCACCAACGTGTTAATGAAGACATGCCTATGTCATACAGTGTGTTTTGAATGAAATTTTGCTTGGACAGCAATGGAATTCCAAATATCAAGGGTTCTTTAACATGCACAACAATGTATACACAGGAAGATATAAACATAGTTAAAGTGTGCATTTACTTTGATTTTTTGCCATGCCTGACCATATCTTCAATATCAACTACATTTCCTACCAAAGCTCTAGGTTCACTATTTTTCTTCAAGTCTGTGAAAAAATTACAAATTTATACAAAATATTTGAACATGATTGATTAATATCAAAAAGTTACCGAATAATCACATTTTTTGCTAACATAAGTCATTCTGGTAATAAATTTGAAAACAAAATTATTTATATTTCAACCTTAGCCTAACCTATGAACATAACATTTTTGATGCCATTTTTTAATGTATTCTTCCAAATCACATTTGTAATCCCATTTTTATTTTATCAGGGTTTAAATGTCAAGGCTAGTATAACCAGTCATTGTAAGATATGCAGGAGATGCTTCATTTTTATTTTCTATGTATATATATAATGTATCTAAAAATTAAACATCAGCCATACAGTTTTATACATATGTAGAATAATATAACAAAAGGTTTTTAAGTATATAATACAAAATTTATTACTCTGTCTTATCAATTTGGGAAACAAATGAACACATCAACAGATGTCATATCTATCGCACTGGTCTCTTTTATCAAAAATTGATACTCTATTAGTAAGTGCAGGAGAATCACACCACATCTAATTAGAAACTCAGCAGACAAACCTGCGAACATATCACACGACCAACAAACAGACATAATATCACTTACCTTCCAATACATTATAGAAGTGACATTTTCTTGCTGTCACTTTTGCTCTACATAGATGCACCTAAAATAAGACAACAAAAACATATTTTTAAACTAAACTGACCTCAGAAGGCTGTTTAATTTACAGAGCAACGTCTTAGGTTACATCAAGATACTACCAAACATTTAGTTGGTTTAATTGATTTACGATTAATGTTCCCCTTTGAAATAAGTATTTTGTGCATTGAAAAGTCAGATGTGTAAATTGTAGCAGAGATTTTTGAAATAGCTTAGTACCTTAGCAGAATTACTGGTTTCTTTTTTCACAGCTTCATTGATACAAAGCTGTTCTCTAGAACCAATAACAGCTACCTTCATACTGAATAATACAATATACAATAAATAAGATGAAAAGTTATTGTATTTATGAATACTGAATCAAAGGATAGGTACTCTGAATTATCTATTTTAAAAAGGTTCAATTAAACATACATTATGCAAGAGCTAAATCTGCCTATTGCAGGTCTTTCTTTAGGCCTTAAATGCTATATAAACTATTAATTAGACATTTATTAACATGACAAGAATATAATCAAGTCTTGATGCCATTGGAAAGGTCTGATTTTAAGTAGATTAAAATGGTTCAGCCATTTAATGATTGAATCTAAAAATGGTGAAGCGAGGCTAAGCTTTGAACAAAAAGTATGGTGGTTACAATCAGTGCACACATCTTGTCAAACCTTCAAAGTCTAATATCTTCCCTCAGAATAAAGTAATTTGAATGAAATTTTCAATATATTAATTTTGCATTATCTATTTTTGAACTATTATCGCAAGAACGGCCAGCTCTTTATCTGAACCTTACATAATGTATCTTTAATAGTATAAATACTACGGCAAAATAAATCACATACGAGTATACCAGAGGGGGCCGTTCTGTAATAATTCCAAGTGTCTACACAATCTTAATCTGGCTTCAAGCACCAGTACATTGGCGATATTTGCCTAAAGCAAAGACTGTTACTTAATAATATTTGACATTCTATCCTATTGTATCGCATATGTAAAATTGGTAGACAGAACCATTATCAGTTAACTTACTTATTATAGCTTGTTCTCTTTAATTCTTGAATAGCTTGAGATAACTGTGAATGTGTTCTGGATGCATAAATAATCTTTGGCACAACTAGAAATAATAGAAAAAACTTAATTATATTCAAAATGGGACTTATCACCAAATGTGGTCTGTCCGTAGTTCTGTACACTATGAGAGATTATAGTCAGCCTGCAAGCCATTTGAGTGTATATTGAATATTCATAACATTATAACTTTTCTTTTTGAGTGGATGAATTTGACAAATATTTGGACTACTGTGTTTTAAGATATTGTGTTCTGATCGATGACATTTTTAATTTTTTTATTGGCATAAACAGCAGACACCTGGATCATAACAGTTTCCCTTATAAACAGCAAAATGCCATTGCTCAATGTGATGATTCAATACTGTTTGCAAAATGTAGCAGTAGCGTCATTTGCTGGTAAACAACAGAAAAGAGATGGCACTATACACGAATCATGGTGATTGCTAGTCACAGTGGCTGGCTAGGTGAGGTCCAGTGTACACATTGGCGTGCATGAAGCAAGTAAAAGAACCCATGACCGTTTGAATTCAAACAAGAGTATGCCGTAGTGCAGCTGTTCGGGCAAACTTCCCCTTATGGCACATTTTGTCTGATATTTAGATGTTAGTGTCATTATGAAAAAATTATCTCAGAATTTCAGATAGTTGCTTGGGACTAAAATAAATGGTTTTAACTGCCACACACAAGTAACCAGTTCTTCTCTCACTCCTTCAGATAATCAAGCTTTAGGCCCTACAGTACATTCTCCAGTTGGGTTTTTTCAAGTTAAAATCCAAAACCTTGCTTCACATATTTTTTGCCATGTGGCAGTGGTTGACTTTAACCCCCTTTGAAATACATTATATAACTTTTATATTTTATGGCCCACCCTCTTAGTCTTTGGAAATTTAGCATATGCCACTGTTTTCTCAGACCCTCCAATAAAAAAAAAACGAAATTATCCTTTAAATAATTATTGGACAATAGGCTAAAATTTTACCGAAGTCGGAAGATCCCCATCCAGACCCTGAGGCTTGTTGTAAATTTGCAGCTACTTTCTTCATAAATTCATCCGTTATATTTTCTTTGTCATTCAGAAAGGGTGCCATTCCATTTTCTTTTTTCATCTGCACTTGGGCCTTTTTACTCTGTAACCATGCCAACGATGAACACAGTAAACACAGCGTTTTACCAGTACCTGTTGGACTTTCTAATATGCCATTTACATTCTGCAATAAAACAAAACTTTTAAAACTTTCTTCATTTCTGACTGGAAATAAGAAATGAAATGGGGTTTAACATCCTACTGTTCTGCTCCAACTGGGCTAATGTAGACATACACCATACAGTGTGAGGGAAATTGTGCCCAGCCAGCTGTGCTACAGCCTATTCTTATATCGAATTCCAACCATCAAGCGTTCTTTTACGTGCATGTCAATGTGTACGTGGACCCTTGGTGTTTCGTCCCATCCAGACAACTACATGTTGTCCCTTGCCAGACCCTCCATCCTGCAACACTGTAGAGGAGGAACCACACCGAAATATCCTGATTAACTTGCTCTGTCAATACAGGGATCAAACATGTCACCTCCAGGATAGCAAGTCAACGTCTTACTCTCTAAGCCAAGATATGGTAAATAGCCTCAGAACATGTATATTTGTATATTAGATGATATTGTAGGTATCATACCTTTTTCAAGCATTCAATCATTTTCTCCATATAATCTACTTGACAAGGATAGGGTGTGAAAGGAAAATTCACATCCACTCCTCCAACTTTTAACAGAGGCATTTTGTATACTCTGGTATCTTCCACTTATTTACTTCAACCATTTACACTTATCATCTCAGGAGTTCAC